TGTACAACAAGCTTACATATGTCTCCGCAAGGCCCTGTGGAAGGGGGCCATACCGTGGTGCCTCATTGAAGCTGCTGTTAACAGAGTAGAGAAGAAATTGCGATAATCCTTTGTATAGCTCCACCGGCATTCTGTCCAAGCCTGGTGCCTTGAGTCTAGGAAGGTCTGAGATCGCTTTCTTTACCTCGTCGATTGTGATGTCCTCCTCTAATTCGCACGTGCTCTCACGGTCGAGCCCACTGAACATGCCAAAAAATCTCTTCCTCCAGCTCTCGATGCATGTCTTCGCTGGTCCAATGCTCTTCCTCAGCGAGAAGGCCACGACAGAAGTCTCTGACACAGTTCAATACGCCATGTGTGGTACGCTGCCGCTCTACATGCTAATCGAACTGGTGGTCCATAGCTGTTATTGTCAGCGTGGCCTTGCGTGCAGCGATTTTAGAAAAGAATTGGTGCAACATACATTCTCCCACTAAGATCCATGCCTCCTTTGTGCGTCTGCCCCATTTATTGGCCTCGTCGCCCTGCCACTCCCTCCATCCTCGGGCTACTTCCACTCTCTCTGCCCACCACTCCTCTTCGATTTGGTCCTCTGTCGGGCCTCTATTCAGGTCCTCCAACCTACGAGTGAACTCCTCACCTGTTCTCTGATGTGCCAGGTAGCTGCAACGCAGTTGCTTCTGCAAGTCTACTCTCAGCCTCTGGGTCGCTGTCATCACATGCTCCAGCAGGCTCTCCTGCGGGCAATCTTCTGACCATTTTTCCAGAAGCTGGCCACCGCAGACCGATATTCTTCGCTTTTGAAAACCCATGCCAGGATTGCCTTCAGCGGGTGGCCCATCTCGAGCTTGCCCACAGGGTTAACTGCTATTATGGCTGAGTGATCCGATGGGCTAATCTGCAGTTGCTCGATTACTTCGTTAAGGCTCACCGACGCCCATATCGATATGAGTCTGTGCAGCACAGCCCAGTCATTGCATTAACCAATGCGAGTGAATCCACCTCCACTTGCCGGTCACCCGCGGAGTCGAGCTTATCGAATTGAAGTCCCCGACAATTATAATGTTATTTACTTCCGGGACCAAAGTCTGCAGTCGTTCCCACATCCTGCGCCGTGCTCCTATCCCTGTCTTCCTGTCTACTGCGGGTGCCCCCCAGGTTACCTCCCCCCATTGCAATAGAACGCATGCCCACTATCCCCGCGAATCATAGAACCAGTCTATTACCTCCCCCCAAAAATTGGGGGGAGACAAGAATGCATACCCCCCCCTTCGTCCCTTGTGCCGGGGACCACACCTGGTGGCCCTTCCACCATAGCATGGACTCTGCTGTTCTGGCCTCACTAAACTTCGTCTCCTGCAAACATACTACATCTATTTGCTCCACCCTCAATTTTCCTGCCAACTCCCTTCTTTTGGGCAGGACTGATTTAGCCCCCAGCCCTCTCACATTCCACGCGAGCACCTTCAACCCGTTGCAGTTTCTTCCAATCCCCGTAGTATTCCTCATTCCTGATTCAACCTGACTTTCTATCACTCCACTACCTCTTCCCTCTCCCTCCTCCTCACTCCCATATCCACGAAACCTACCTCCTCATTTTTCAATCTGGAAACTCCTGCTATTTTTGTTGCTGGGGAGGTGTTGCCACCCTGCGACACCTTGACAGGATAAAGTACCCACTAATCTCCTCCCTCCCCCGTCGCTCATACAACCTAAACGTATTACTCCCCTCGCTCTCCCTTTTGGAATTGTTGAGCTCCCACATGCTCCTCCGGCGGCAGTCGCGCATGAACGCTGTTAAGAATGGTCAAATAAGTAGCATAGACCACGTGATAGTCCTGGGACAAGGCCGTAGGGCCAAAGGCGTCAGCGAACCGCACCCACTGCATACCGCTCGCCCCCAACCTCGGGATACCCGGCTTTTTGGGAACGACTTCTCTGAAGTAGACATACACCACATATTCTTTGCCATCCACCATTTGTCTTACAAATCGTGATGCCGAGATCTGGGGCAGCGATATAACTTCGTACCTTGGGCCCACCCATTTGCGGACCTCCCTCAACACCTGTTGCTCTTGCGGCTGCTTTGTCACCCCTAAAACTGGCACTTCCATCGCTCCCTCCATAAGGAGCTTAATCTCATCCGTCACTCGCCAGAAGGCAATGGGACAAAAATAACATTATCCCGCCCGCATGATGTCCTTCAGTTGAGCCCCCACGTGTTCCTGCAGCGCCAACTTGGCTATGTGGTCCAACAGGCCCTGCTGCTGCTGACTCTCTTGCTGCTGTTGACTGTCTTCCTCTGATGCTGGCCGCGAAGGAGCAGAGTCCATTCCTTTCGAAGTCGGCGATTGGTGATGTTCTCCCTCCCCACCCGTCGTTTCCTTCCCTGCAATCTGATGATCTGACTGGCCGCTCTCCAGTCTGTTGTCTGGTATCTCTGTGTTCGAGGAGTCCAATGACTCCGATGTGTCCGACGAATCAGACGACGACTCTGTCGATTCCTCCTCCCCTCGGTTATCAGCATCCAAACCCTCCACTGGGAGGCCAAAACTTGCCTCCTTGAGGCGAATGGAGGCCGGTAATGATGATGTTGGTGCTGGCGATACATCCCTTTTCCCCCTCAGCCAATATCGTGGTCCAAACCCCTTGCCTCCCAGCAGAGTTCATTCCCTTTCCTAGCCTCTCTGCGATCGCCCTCATCCGCTTTCCGATTGCACCCGCTGTTTGCGTGCAGATTCCGCTGTTGCCGAAGAGTAGGTCGGGGCTGGAAAGCATTCCGCTGAAGAAGAGCTCTTGGGTGTGCCCGCAGTTACCTGCTTCAATCTACGCCCTTGACCATCCGGAGAGCGCCCCCTGATAACGCATTTCGCCACAACTGGTATCTGATATGTAGGTCTGTCTGACCTCCTTGACGTGCCTGACTCTCCCGAACAGCCCTGGCAGCCCCTTCCCCTACCTCCTCCTCCCTCCCCCATCTCCTCAGAGCAGTCCAGCTTATGTCCCTCTTCATACCCCTTTTCTTTGGTTTTCCTGCTTCCCCGCTCTCGTTCTTTCTCTTCTATTTTCAGCTTAGACTCAGTGCCTTTCCCTTCTCCCCATCGGATCTCTTTCCCCTTGTCTGTCATGTCTTTTCGTCAGAGGAGGATGGAGGGGAAGGGGGGCAGGGCTTTGTTTGGTTGTTAACATAATTTTTTTTCTTTTTTCTTTTTTTTCTTTTTTTTTTGGGCTTGACCTGAAGAGACCTGTTCACACTTTGCATTCGTTTCAGTTGTGGCTTGGTGGGTTGGTGGTGGTGGGGATTTGAACTTACCTGTGGAGTGTGTGTCACAGTTTGCATACCTGTCTCCAGCTCACCACAATTTGCCTTTTGTGCGCAAGAAATATTCCTTCTAAGATGTAAGGAGATATGCAATTCTGCATATGATATTACTGCGATATTGTTCAAAAGGGACGTGTTTTTGGTCTGGTTGTCTCAAGAACGTGACTTCCAGCATTGCACTGACATACTCCCATGAGTTTTAGTCGCATAGAGTAGCCATTTTCCCCTCTATCTCAAACTGTATGTCCCTGTTGTCCAAGTGAAGGACTTGGTCAGCAACCTCCCTGGGCTTGAATGCCCGCAATGCATCCCACCATGGATTGACATGCCAGGGCATGAAAAAGAAATGAAACAAGGCAAATAAAAACGAAAACATAGGCAATCGAGTTCCTCACATACTGGCGAGATACATTCCCCAAAGCACTGGTGGGATTTCCACCTCCCATGAGGGCCTTCCACGATGAGAATGCATGAAGAACAAAGGGGAAAAGAAACTTCCCTTATGCTCCGATCGCCGTCGGAAACAGAACGCTACAGCGCTGATGTGAGTATGAAGTGAGTGCGGCAGTTAGCTCCCCTCCCCCCGTGGAGGGCACCAGAAAAGAAATGAAACAAGGCAAACAAAAACGGAAGCATAGGCAATCACCTTCCTCACATACTGGCCAGATACATTCCCCAAAGCACTGGTGGGACTTCCACCTCCCGTGAGGGCCTTCCACGTTGAAAATACATGAAGAACAAAGGAAAAAAACTTCCCTTATGGTCTGATTGTGGTCTGATACAGAACGCTACAGTGCTGATGTGAGTATGATGTGAGTGGGACAGTTTGGTCTGATACAGAACGCTACAGTGCTGATGTGAGTATGATGTGAGTGGGACAGTTAGCTGCCCCCCTGTGGAATCCACCCTGCCCCACTAGCAGGGCACCAAAAAAGAAATGAAACAAGGCAAATAAAAACGGAAACATAGACAATCATGTTCCTCACATACTGCTCAGCTACATTCCTCAAAGGACTGGTGTGACTTCCACCTCTGTGAGGGCCATCCCCAATGTCGCTGGACTCGACATTCATAGTTTTCTTTGTTTTTTTTTTCCTTACCGTGGGCCCGCAGGGTCCCAATCTTTTCGTTTTTTTTCCTTCCTACCCACCCTACGCGGGACCCCTGAACTTTTCGGATGAGGTCATTTTCCCAAATGGGACTACAGCTTGGAAAGGTAGTGGTGGTTTACTGCAATGAAACTAGAGGAAGCATTTCGATATTCAGGGGTGTTGTTCTGCACCTCATCAAACAGGAAGAACATAAAGGAGCAGAAAAGGAATGTGAGGTAAACTGAAGAACTGCAAAGCGGACAGAAAGAGAAGCGACAGAGTGAAAGGTCCTAGTCTCTTTTGAGCCAGCAGTTCAGAAAGTACACAGGTCCTCCAGTGTGTGTACAAATGTCATGTACATCTGTTGAACTATTGAGACAGAAGGCTTCTCTCCTAGTTCGCATTAGAAGCTCTCTTCCTGTTTTTTCACCTGGGTGAAGGCACGGGGTACAGGGGGTCGGGAATAAAGCAGGGCTGCCCCAAATATAACTGTATTCAACATGATTTCCAGTCTTCATTGCTTTTTTTTACGTAATAGATAGCTACATGTCTGCAAGATTGTAGGTGCACTTTTCAAAGACACGTACGTATGATGCGCTGCCACATTTGGAAGTCTTCTGAGCTTCTTCCTTCTGGAAAACATCGGGGCTTCACTGCTGTAACACGCTTCGCATTGGCAGGTTCCTCAGATGGCCTTATCATAGATGTCTTACTTTCCTCCACAAAGATCACTTCCGGAGGCTCCCCTTCATCCTTGACAATCAAATCTGCTGGGTCTTTAGTGCTCTCTTCTCCTTGAACTGAAGCCTCTTCTCGCCGCTGAGACCTGTCTGCCTCATCATCACAGCCGTTCTCCAGCACAATGGACTTGCTCTCCCTAGCCTGAAAGACCTCAGATTCTGCCTCCCTGCCACCACTGCCTAGATGTGATGCATCCCCGACAATATTGGAAGAAAAAGAATTTCCCTGACTGTTCACCGACACCCCTGCCTGTGCTTCAGGTGAAATCAGGTCGAGCTTTTCACCATCCGGGCTACTCTCAGCAACATGCATGGGATCAACCGCATGCCTATCCAAAGTGTCATCAGAAGACCTCCTCGCTTTCCCTCCTTCCTGATCCAGCACTGCTCCCATCAAATTTGACGAACTGGCACTGCCAGACAGCTCTTCACCGCCACTACGGCAATCGGGCCTCTTCAGTGTAGCATCCTCTGCCTCCTGCACCACTTCCACAGAATTGGGTATCGAGCGACAAAGCTCTTCTCCCCATGATCTTTGTGCTGGCAGCATCTCACTACATGCATCTCCATCCTCCACCTCGTCATCCTCCTCATCTCCATTATTCTCTGAGAGTCTGTCCTCGCCTTCCTTGCCCATTACCTCCCTATCAGATTCTTCAACGAACTCCACGAGTTCACACGTCTGAGCATGCTGTTGTCCGTCGACATTTTCATCATCTAAACTCTTAGTGGTCACACCAGTCATCTGATCAACAGGTGCTGCCTCGGCAGCTGCGTCTTCAGAGTCATTATGTGATTTCACCCGCATTTGGGGCAGATGTTTCAATGCTAGAAGACATTGTCTCCGAAGCTGGTGATACTGCTCCCTGCAGATGGTTGTCAAGGTTCAAAGAATGACACATTGGAAGTAATCATCACCAACAACCTGGCAAAGAAAATGGGCATTCACACTTCTTCTTCTAAGATGCAAACAGGGAAAGTCAATACAGTGTCACATCCTCTTAACTTTCAAGCCATAACACTATGGGCAAGCACATCGTCTCTCCAAGAAATTGGTTGACCAATTAGCTCACATCAAAGACACCATAGTGACATTTTTGTTTCATAAGTCAAATCAAGTGTCGTATCTATTCCGATCAGTTTAATTTCTGCCGTGAAAGAAAAAGGTTTGTGACTCGCAGTACTCAGCAACATATCAGCCAAGGTGATGTTGTGACACTGACACATCGTTTTCTCAATCATGTTTCCCCAACTTGTCACTGAAATAATTGTTTCCCATCATATTCTGATATCTTCCTTCACTTTTCCAGTAACCTATCACCCAAATCATCTTGACAAACCACGGATCATGAATTACTTGACATAGAAGGTTACCCAATAACTATGGCCACACAACTGCATTACTCGCTGTCACATGCCTAATCGGCATCGATCAGAACCAAGAACCGACCTCTCAGAGACAATACAAAAATAGCACAGCAGAAGACTAAAATACCAGGACCTGGCTCAGCAGGGACAATGACAGGACCTGGCAGCACTCGTCATCACTCTGTGTGAGTGGACTCAGCACTATGATCATGGAAGGGGTGCTGACTCCGAATCATCCACAGATGAAGGAGGGGGGAGAAACGGAAAGGAAAGAGGGAGATAGGGAGAATCAGCCACCATAGCCCGATGAACCCAGTCTCCAATGTATCCCCAAAGTCCCTGCTCATACAATGTCAAGTCGCAATGTCACAGAACTGGGCAATGCCCGAATGTCACCAGATCTAAATGTCATCTCTCTCTCTCTCTCTCTCTCTCTCTCTCTCTCTCTCTCTCTCTCTCTCTCTCTCTCNCTCTCTCTCTCTCTCTCTCTCTCTCTCTCTCTCTCTCTCTCTCTCTCTCTCTCTCTCTCTCTCTCTCTCTCTCTCTCTCTCTCTCTCGTACCTCAACAGTAGAAGGAGAGGAAGAAGAAGAAGAAGAAGAGCTCCGAAAGCAAAAGGAAGGGGGGGGATGGAGGACAGGAAAGAGAACGGAAGAAGACAAAGAAAGGAATCCTCTCTCTCTCACTGATGTATCCAGGTACTGACCTGTGGACAGGTGGCTCCTTTATGCAGGTATGGACGTACTGAGAACGAACCTGGAGCAATGGCACCACAGGTAAGTCACCAGGTAAGTCCCCTAGCCTCCGCCATCCTCAACTCCCTAGTCCCCGCTGCAGAGTGCTGCAGCCCAAGCTCAACTACTCTAACACAGTGCCCAGCGCTGGAAGACTACTCCCTACCTCAGTGCTACTGCGGCCAGCGCGTTTACTACTGAAGACTACTGATGCTACCTCAGAACTACCTCTGAACTACCTGCCTAAAATGAGGCTGGCCCAGATTTATATAATGCTGGGCCTAGTGTCCTAGGCCAAAAGGATGGTCTGGCGCCAGGAGTGAACTGGTGAAAATTCAAAAGCGAACCAATCTGGCGCCAAGAAGCAGTAAACTGGCAAAAATACGAAAATACGAAAGGGAACCAGTCTGGCGCCAAAAGCAGTAAACTGGCGAGGAAACCAGTCTGGCGCCAAGAGCAGTAAACTGGCAAAAATACGAAAATACGAAAGGGAACCAGTCTGCCGCCAAAAGCAGTAAACTGGCGAGGAAACCAGTCTGGCGCCAAGAGCAATAAACTGGCAAAAATACGAAAAATACAAAAGGGAATCAATCTGGCGCCAAAAGCAGTGAACTGTTGAGTTAACCAGTCCGGCGCCAAGAGCAGTAAACTGGTAAAAATACGAAAATACGAAAGGGAACCAGTCTGGCATCAAAAGCAGTAAACTGGCGGCGAAAGGAAACCAGTCCGGGTCGGTAATGGTCCTACGCTAGTCTACTAGCGTACAGGCCCCTAGAACCGTACCAAAACCCCTAACCCTACCCGCGGGCCCGCTCGGGCCCATGTGGGATCCGTGGCATGCCACACTCGCTCTACACTATTAGATGCCAGCTGTTATGATCCTGGCCAATTTCAAAGTACACATTCATCAGAACGTACAATGCCGTCCAATTGCAAAAAGAAATGAATGAACTCGAGAAGAGAGAGAGGGAAAGAAGAAGAAGAATCAGAAAGAAAGAAAGAAGAAGATGATGCACACCAGCATAGACCAATAATAATTCTCTTCTTCTTCGCCAGCCACACTCCTCCTTATCTCCTCCCGTCTTATTCAAACAAGAAATAATAATAACAACGTTGAATAGCTGAACCAGAATCAATGTCCGAATCCCTCTTCTACTGCAGGTATCACATGAGGTCCACCATAGCCATGGCACCCTTCTCCTTCCTCTTCTCAAAGGCCTAGGCTATGGCGGACTGCCAGGGCCTTGCCCTGATGTACAGAAAACAACTCAAGCAGCTATGGCTGCTCTAGCTCAGGCCGCTACGCCTGACTCTGCCTCAAAGCTTCTTGGGGTAGCTCTGCCCCCGCTGGGGTCTTCGTCCTGCAGCGCCCACCAAGGTGATGGAGATGGCAACCAGCATAGCCAGGTAAATACCTCTCGCACTCCCCCTTCCTAGCCCTGGTCTTCTTCCTCCTCCTGTCCTTGCTCCTCCCCAGCAGCGCTACTCCAGCCAGCGCTCCAACCAGTGTGTCGCCAAACTTGCACACCGACCATGAGGAGCACCTTGCTCCTCCTGGAGATATAGCGGCCTGCTTGCCTCTTGGCGAGTGACTTCCTGGGCCGTGAGGCCTCCAAGCAACCAGTACCTCCTCCCTTTCAGAGGGAAACATCATTGCAGGCTCTGATATTGCACGTACAGGCCCTAGACTCAGACTGGTTGGACTGGTACCCGCCTAGGCCTCGCCGTTTTTTTTTTTTTTTTTTAGAACAAATGCTCCAGTCTATTCGTGGGGAGCAGCACGTGCTGGGAACCGGGCCCAGCGTCCCATATCGAATTATACAGATCATTGAGAACATTTGAGGTCTGTTGAGCTCATTTGAGATACCGGGGCCATTACCCGGCTTCGGCTGAGAACAAACTGTGAAACAGAGTCCTACGAATGCTCACTACTTTCAGGTTCCCTGACAAACCCTTCTAAGACTTCCCAACGCTGTCTTACTCCCTGCTGAGTTCTTCCAGGCCTCACGCCCCCACCCTGCTGGGTTACAGGGCAACACAACTCCCCCAGCTCCGACCAGCGTCATCCCAGCAGCAACCCTTGGTCGTCCCTTGGGATGCCCACCCCAAAGCATCCCCAGATCTCTCTACCAGGCCTCACGCTCCTGCATCAGCCGGTTACAGGGCAACACCTCAGCACCGGCCAGCGTCGTTCTGGCATCGAACGGCCACAGATCATTGAGTATAACAGCATCAAAACTGCCTAAGATGGATTGCTAAGAAACCCTAAAGTCCTAAGACATTCATAAGAACAACTGACTTTTTTTCCATTCAGACTCTACCAAGTCAAAAGAATACGTGTGTCAATAAGCCTCCCCATCACGAATCAGATAGGTGAAACCTATTCAATCCCCCTACGACCACCACCAGCATGGTTAATTTTAGCACGAACCGAAGCTCATCCAGGCCTCATGCTCCCATCAGGTTAGGTTACAGAGTTGCACCACCTTGCTCCAGCACCGGCCAGCGTTGCTCCAGTTACGACCCCCGATGACCACTGGGACTGCCCCCGCAAACAGCCCCCCAGAGCTCTCTACCAGGCCTCACACCCCCACTAAGCTAGGTCACAGAGTCGCGCCACCTGGCTCCGGCTCCGGCCAGCGTTGCTCCAGCATCGATCTTCGAGGGCCACCGACTTTTTAACCACCCCTCGCAGGATCACAGATGGCTTGCCAGATAACACCTATTCCCACAACCTCCTCGAGAGGCAACCAAATGGAAAGCTATAGTAAACTGGATGATAGATTTCTTCGAGAGAGATCGCCCCTCCCTCCCCCTACCCCTTCCCCCTCAGCCCTATACTCCCTCCGCCGAGGAGAGTCACTCACCTGGCCTCGGCCCCAATATAGGACCAATCCTCTCCCACCCTTTCCCCAGGAGCACGCAGTTCCCACCTAAAGCATGCCCCCCCGCCCCTTTCCCATTTCCGCCTCCGCAGGGACTGATGGACCAACCCACAGTCCCTGCCCCAGAATAAGGCAACCCCCTACTCCGCCCCTACCCTCTTTGAGACATTCACCCCCCACCTTGCAATGCCCCTGCAGGATAGAGCTCCCCCCACCCCCTTCCCACCGTTCAGCCCTCCAGGAACAATCCGATCCAGCCGACTACAGTTATTGATGACACACTTACCAAAATATCATTCGCTTGGATTTTGTTGGTGACGATGGACAGCACCCTGAAGACGATAATAATGAGAATGATGGTGACAACCAACTCACCTGCTGATGCAGAGCAACATCTAATTGAAAACAAGCTGATGATGATAATGATGATGATAATGATGATAATGATGAGGATGAAAACGGAAAGATGATGCTGATCTTACCAAAGAGCAGCACCAACTGCCCCTTTGATTACAAACTGATGATGATGATGACGATGATGATAGTAATGATGATAGCGATGATGATAGTGATGATGATGGTGATGTTGATAATGATGATGATGATGATGATGATGATGGTGATGTCAGTAATGATGATGATGATGATGATGATGATGATGATGATGATGATGATGATGATGATGATGATGTCAAATCACGCCCTGTTGCTGATAATGGTGACGAGCAGCACCCTAATGATAATGACTCCGAGGCTGGTGCTGGTGGTGATCAGCGAGAGTGCCGCCGATGACAGAGATGTATACAAAAAACCAAAAACAACGCACTCGATATCGCCTCCAATCCTCCTCACGCTCCACGTAAGCACGCGCTCCTCCTTTCCGTTCGCGTCATACCAACCACCTACCACAACACTACGCAGACCAAGGAGCAGAAGCCATAAGAAGGCTGAACTTCTCAAGGAGGCCCACCTCCTGTCGAAGGCATGTTCCACTCCTGTCGAAGGTAAGTTCCCCTTCACCCAACGTGCTAACCTGTAACACCACTGGATGAAGTGCAAAGCTGGAGATGGCACCGAAGTGCCTTCAAAAGGCAGGCAACACCGAGTCACGCTCCATCCTCCTGCCCTCCCGCTGTATGATCTCTACTTCATCACAACCCCATCACCAAGGCGCCGACACGCCAGAACTGTCCACGTCATACCCAGCCGCCAGTTCGCGCTCGCGTGTTTCCAACCTGTACGGCGCCACAAGGCTGCCCGCGTGAGATTGCCAACCTGCAGGGCGCAGCGCTCCCGGAAGCGCTGCGCCCACCGCGATGGAAGGTTGATTAATGGTAAAAGACACATTAGGCCCGCCTAGGCCTCGCCTACACCTACTGGGCCTCTAAAAATGCCAACTTTTGTCGTCTTCTGCTCGGCCTCGAGTACCCAGCACATCTACCTCTGCCTGGTGTGGTACCGGCCTACCTGCTACTTGAGTGTTTTCCGCTGCTTCAAGTGTCACAGTCCTCTTCCCCCCGCCACTTGAGTGTTTTCCCCGCTGCAACCCTCAATGTCACGGCCACAGGAAGTACCGGCCCTTCAGGCCCTCAGAACGAGGTCACACACACACTCAAGTCGACAAGCACTCCGACAGGCATGCAGACCAGCAAGTATGCACACACACAGACTTAGAGAACTCAGTAACAAGCGGGAAACTCAGCAACGCATTCATTCCGTGAGCAAAACTCAGAAGCTGTGTGTTGCAGTCCGTGTTTGGCAGGTCATTACATTGCTGGCTGGATGCTAATTTCGTGAGTCCAAGCAGATTGATATTCTAGAAATTAATAGCCTTCATTGACCTGCTTTGCGTATGGCAGGACAGAGTCCAAGGCCAGGAACTCCTTAACTGCGATAGATCTCCTCCGCTGCTAGGTTCCTGCAGGATAGCCTTCATCAACCTGCCTTGCCTAAGGCAGGACAGAGTCTCTGACGCCAGGACCTCCTTAACTGTGATAGATCTGCTTGCACTGCTAGCTTAACACATGATGGGTTCACATGCATGCTAAGCTTATCCGAATCTAATGTAGCAAGCCAATACCACTGCATAGCAGGCTGCAGACTACCGGTAAGTTCGGAAACAATTGAGCATCAAGGAGGCTAGCCTACAACAAATGATCAACATTCACCGCTACTTTCTAGGTCAATTCCTTATAGACTATTACTTCATAGCTAGGGTGTTTTTCCAGGCGCCCAGTCACCTAGCTTGTGCCCGGAAACATGCCCCGGTGTGTGGCCGGCATGACCCCTTGGGAGGATTCCCGGCAGCCCCAGCGCAAAAAAACAAAAACGAAAAAAACAAAACATCAATCCTGGAGAAAATAAGTTCTGTAGAATTGCAACGCAAATCGTCCTTCGGGACATCCGTTAAAATTGGAACGATACAGAGAAGATTAGCATGGCCCTTGCGCAAGGATGACACGCATAAATCGAGAAATGGTCCAAATAAAAAAAAAAAAAGATTTGCAATGCAAATGACATTTGGCTGAGTGTCAAATCAGAATTCCTCACCAATCGGAATAGAAAAGTAAATAACAGAATCGGAGATAGAAACAGACTAAGGCACCCCCCCCAAAATCCCCTTTGTGTACCCCCCTTCAGCTCCCCTTGACAGCCAAAACTACAAAAAGGAAAAGAATCCGGATTTGGGCTCCTCTGGGCACGCACGGAAAACTCCAACCACCAAAAAAAAAAAAAAGCTGACCCCAATTATTCTCATGCCCAGGTACCCCGGGTGTCAGCCTCCCTTGCGACACCATCGGCTACCCAGCCAGACAAGAAAAACAGCCTAGCTTTCTAGGCCAACTCCTTACTTAATTTGACAAAACATGTGTTCAGCACGATCTTTCAGATTTGGTACACCCAGAGAGAAAAGTGTCGAAGCATGGTGAGGGGGATCCAGAGAGGGTAAGAGGGCCAGGTGGATTCTAAAGTTTCAGGATTACCATTGACAGGGTGTATGGCAAAGGGTGAGCCTCTGACAGGGTCATCCAAACAGAGGCCTTCGCTCATCACCAGGCATTTACCAAAACAGTACTAAATACACACTTCGGCCGTATCCATTAAGGGCACAGCCAGGTCATTGACACCTCCTGGGGACGGGGTATGGACCTAAACTGTCTAAACACATAAATATTTGAATAGATGGCTGTGACTTGCAAAGTACTACACGGGTTATGACAAGGGCTGCTGTTGCATTGGCATGAGTTAGAACCATCGTTCTGTAAACAACCCATCCAAAACGAGAAGGTGTATAGAGAGGGTGTGTTCAACAGAGTACTGCATGGGTATGGCAAGAGCTGTTGTGACATTGGAATGATTTAGAAGCACTGTTATGCAAACAACCCTATCCAAAGAAGAGAGGCTGTGTTTAAGCGATTTCAAAAACACAGGGAGGGTAATGTCCAACGAGAAGCTCCAGAGTTGACCAAGTCATTCAGAACAGTTGCCAAGGTCATTCAGAAGAGTTGACAAGGTCAATCAGAAGGGTTGACAAAGTCATTGCAACAAAGCCCTGGAAAATTTTCTAGGATGTTCCCAAGCTTGATAACCCTGGACAGCTATTTCTAGGATGTTCCCAAGCTTGATAACCCTGGATAGCTACCGAGGCATATTATTACTGTCCAATAAGATAACCTCGACAACTGTACGCTACAGGTGGGTCTGTTGCATGCCCACCTGACACACGAGTTTAGGGCATACCAAGTTACTTACTAGCGTAGACTTTGGGACCTTTTTGGAGGCTCACGAACCGACGGCCAGTCTCCCCTTGTGCAACGCTTCTGTTCCATGCATCCCATGGACCCTTGTAGACATGTGATTGTTCCAGCATTAGCATAAGCTAGATGCCCAGCTGGAATGTAGTCCATCACTCGTTCCACAGATGTCCCAGCTAGAATGTAATTTCCCAGAACCTGGGAATTAACACCTGCAATATTGGTCAGAGCCATGGGTTGATAGTTCTGCCTCACTTACAGTTAGGTGCAGGAGAGCAGGTTGACTCCCGATGACCTCACTAAATTCTGCCAAGTGTTTGCTTCTCCCTTCTTCCTTCATCTCCCTCCACCCACTCGTACTACTACTCTCCCTCTCTCCGCAGCCCCCCTCTTCACCATCCTCAGGATCGGACATGCATCAACACACTGCACTCATGACCGAAATGCCGACCCTCACACAAGCTTGTGCACCATTGCACAATGGCTCCAAACTTTGTCACACCAGGCAAGGCCTCACTGCATTGTGAGCTGTGGCATACCTTTCCTGCAGTCTGAAATGTGATGGTGCTCATCTTTCCCTTCATGAGAATGGACAAGAACGCACAAGGAGAATACGTTGTTAACGAGACGACTTTTATTTACTCTGCAGTGTCTGCACTGCTTTCACAACACAAGCACTTCTATGCTCGTGCTTCTGGGAAAGCAGAAGCAACATGAGTCAGAGAGAGGGGGAGGGGGGGGGAGGGGGGAACAACCGACTCCAGGAAAGAACTGAAACCCTATTTCATAGCAAACATGACCCACCCTCTTGTGGAGCATACCTCCGCTGAGCCCTTTGCTGCTCCCTCTCCTCACGGGTGCTTCCAGCATTATACCTGACTTCCCAAAAATAGCCAAGAGGAGGAGACGCAACAAGAGGGTACAACAGGACGCATGTCCAATAGCCAATCAGCATCAACAAATACAGTAGCCGTATCTACAACCTGTAACTTACTTCTTAGGTCAAACAACAACGACCATGCCAATAACTTGAACAAACCTTGCTGGGCTTTTTTCCTTTGAAACAATTGCCAGCTTGGAAAGTTCTCAATTTGCGCTCGCCATACTTGCCGCACTTGAGCAGGGCAAATCTTCACAGGGTACTTTCAACATTGACAGATATCCGAAAAGGCCCAATTCGTTGTACTTACGACGAGTTCAATCTCCTACATTGCAAAAGGATGATTATTTGTCAACAGAAACGTTACTAGCAATATTTTCATCATATCTGATCCGTCGAGTGGTTGTAAAGAAGAGATGCGGCCAGCACAGCAGTTGAGAGGTCAGGCACGGAGGAAATGCTGTCCAACCAAATTGTGTATTACATGCATGGAGAGAACACTGCCTGGTTAAACAGTTATCAATGTTGTGGGAGAGGTGCTGCCAAAGCAGCATTCGGGGCCGCTGAGTCTATCCCCAGGAGTAAGACTACAAGGACGGGCATATATATTGGGGTAAGACTACAAGGACGGACATATACATTGTTACATACATACATGTGAACACGTCAACGTGGCGAGCCCTGGACGTGAGAGGCACAGTCACGGGGGAACTGAAAAAGAAATGATCATAAGAATGGTTTCAGTTCATGTTTGTCTTCTGTATTTTATCATTTCTTCTGTACTTTTATCGTTTATTTTGCAAGGACACTCTGTAGTTGATAAATATGTGACAACATGGTTGCACATATTTATACATGGTTCTGTATACATAATTGCCTGCACGTCCTATGCCAGGCCAGCAAGAACCATCCCTCATCAGATTCCACTCCTGAATTGGAACACCATGTTCCTTCGTTTCCGTATCGAAGACTCTAACCAGGATTGCACAATTCATTACAGTTCCGTATAGATGCAACAAGAACTTTCCCACATGAGTTTTGCCAAGCATGTAACACCACGGCAAGCATAAGCTTGAAGAGGCACCATACTGCCGCAGAGATGAACAACACAGATACACACCCACACGCACACGCGTGTGCAGACACATACACACATGCGAGCACCCACACACACGCACACCATCACACACACACACACACACACACACACACACACACACACACACACACACACACACACACACACACAAAATCATATTATTGACAGCTTCTTTTTTTCCTTTTCGCCTAAGTTGTAACGACCTGCAAAATTGCAGACATAGAAATCTGCTGTTTTCGGAGCCACACAAGCTTCGTCAAGCATATGCCACCACGACAAGCCTAAGCTAAAAGAGGCCACGCATGGTTAACTCGAGGAGATTTTCGGTGAATTTTGCACTGAAACTCTAGGCTGGGCAGACGCCCAGCCGATCGGGCCGGGGGGGTCCGCCTGGCATACCCGGGCGACCCAAAAACCCAGCAGATTTTTTTACTTTTTTTTTGATAGTGGGGTCTTGCTGTGCTCCCCCAGAGTACCCCGAATCTGCAATAAGAAAGTTAGTTTGGGGAGGGGGGGCCAGGGGTGGCTTGGGGGTTGCATAGAGGTAGGGTGGAGGGCTTGGGGTTTTACAGGGGGTCTGACCATGTGTGTACTGCTGACTTAGGCCGACGCCCGGCCCAGACGGACCGGGCCAGACGGACGGGGGGGGTCTGTCCGGCAAAACCAGACGAGCCGAAAAACATCCCAGGAATTTTTTTATCTTTTTTTTTGAAGATGGGGTTGGAGTGCGCTCGCTGAGAGGAGCCCGAATCCGCAAAGAAACTTGTGAAAGGCATGTGTGTTGGGGGGGGGGAAGTTTGAGGGGAG